CTGACTCTCTCATGTCTCTGTTTTTGTGAAGGCCATTCTCTTTACCAAGAATGCCCTCCCCACTTTGTTCTGTTCATCAGTGTTCCTCCCCCTCAGCTCAGCCCCTTCCCCGGCCAGTCCTCCTCAGCACCTGGTTGCCAACAACACTATATTATTGTCCTTTTTTCATGTTACTTTGAATGTTCATCTACATAGTTTTAATTTACATTAATTATACCAGGAATGACATATACTGGTATAGATCTTAATTGTTATATAATTTTATATTAACAGTTAGTTATCTGGCAATGTCTTTAAAAACAATACAAACCATTTCTAGGCAGTGATTTACCTAATCTCAACAGCAAAATATCCAACTTTGGTCCTTACTCTATAATTCTAACTGAACAAAATTTCTTCTTAAATATCAATTAACCTGAAATTTTCTAAAACCCCTCATCAGATTAGGTTGGGAGCTCCTTCCAGTAGAAATATCCCAAGGCATCACATATACCAAGGCTTAATATTTATTTTTTGAAAGGATAGAGAAATGAGGAACCAAATGAACTTTCTCCAGTTCCCAAAATATAAGTAGGAAATTACAGTGAGACCCATTGTATACAATATCCAATTTAGAGATCTTAGTTTGGCCTTCCATTGCGTATGCACAGTCACCACATGTGGACACTCACCCCTCACTGCCTCCATGGCCGGTGAGGTCTCCCCTTGTAGTCTCTGCTCCACTCAAGCCAGGTGTTCAAATTGTGTCTCAGACACACAATTTCCCTGAAGTTGTCCCTGGGAGGTCATGAGCCCTTTCTGCCTGACCCTGCTCTGGTCCCTCTTACCCCATTCTCTGGCGTGGCCAGGGCCGAGTACAGCTTGCAGAGGGAGATGATTCCACTATATTCAGGGAGGGGCACCGGCTCGTTGCAGTTATCCTTCTTGAAGGTCAGCAGCTTGTTGATGAATTTTTCGAACATGCGTTGAAGGGGTTCTACCTCGGTCTGGAATTAAATATGAAGGGGCCCTTTATTCATTCTTGTGTCCCATAGGCCACTCTGGTTATCCTCCCACTCCTCAATTGCCTTCATACCTTTGGCCTCTTCTCTAGCCATGACTGAACATAGGTCTTCCAGCCCAGGTCAGCGTAGTCAGTGTACACCATCCCACAGCGAGACACGGTGGCTGGAGAGGCCATGGCCAAGTTTTCCACTTCGAACAGGAGAGACACCTAAGGATATACTTTGTCAAAACCTTGTATTTTCCTCCACCCTGCCCCAAACTCTGATGTCCCAAGGTGTCCTACCAAGTACCAAGTGTGGCAGGATGAATAAAGACCTAAGGTTTACAAGTGATTTGCTTGTTAAAAGAAATTAGAGCCTAGTCAAGGTTATCTTTATGAAAAATCACTTTCTTGTTCACATAGTTTGAGTGGACGGAAAAGGGAGGACTTTACAGTCCGTGAATTCATAATGCCAGGTCCATAAGTTAAGGTCCTCCCTCCTATGTCAGTAGAAATGAGCCTCAGGAGGGGTCCCTCAATTTATACAGTGCTTCCTGATACACAAGTTACTTTTCTTTACAATAGTTCTCCATATCCACGGTAGACAGGCAACAGCTTCCCCTGAATCCAGGCATCCTCCTCCTCAGCTCTCTCCTATAGAACTTCCTCTTCTCTTAGGATCCCCCTGCTCTTCCCCTTAGCCCTGCCTCATGCCCTCCAGTTTCTACTTCTGCAGGGCCTCGGTAGTCAGAGCACCCCTGTACCTGCTCAGGCATCGCAATCCGCTCTCCATTGATGAGGGTCAATACTTTGTTATCATCCATGACGGAGTTCATGCTCTCAATCCACAGTGTGTCAACAGGGCCATCAAAAAGGATCCACTTCTCATCTGGTTTCTCATCTTGGTAGAAGATGGGGGATAAGGAAACCAGAGCTTTCTTACCTAGCCCTCCCTCCACATTCATCTCCTCAGAGATGCAAGCTGATGCTTCATTGTGCCTCAGCATTCTCCAAGCATTTTCCTCCCAAATCGAGGTTTCTATCCCCAGAATGCCCACCACCCATAGGATATTTAGGCATCTGCTCTCCCCACCCCATGATCCTTTGCATACCTGAACATGCTATCCGCATGACGCTGGCCAGGATGCCATCTGTCCATTCATTAGTGTTGAGGTCATATTCCCCATACAGCTCCCCTAGGGATAGTGCCTTAGGGTTCAAAGGGAACTCCTAAAAATGACACAGGAAGGGATTTTGAGCTGCTGGCAGAGACAGATCCCAAGATCTCCCTTTATTTGCTAGGATTTGTTTTTGCCCCTTCTCTCTCATCTCTCCTAAGCCAACTTGGACCCAGACACTGCACTGCCTTCTCTGACACCTATGCATCCTTGCTCCTAGCCTCCATTATCTTCCTGCTACCCAAGTCTCTGCCAGTGACTTCGTGGTCCCAACTCCGTACTCTAACAATGTTGAAGTTGGGGTCTCCAGCACGGCACAGGGAGGACAAGGAGGACTGAAGAATTCGCCACGAGGTAGTCTTGCCACTGCCTGTGCAGCCCACAATCATGGTGGAGTGGCGGGAGTTCTTGGTTTCATACAACTGAATGACCTTGGTAAAGGTGAATGGCGTGGCCTGTAGGCCCATATCTCGAATCTCCTGTTCAATGGTCTCCTGCAGCTGAAAGAAGGGAAAATACAGGAAGTAGGAAAAAAAGCAGGAGGCCTGCAACGGACTTTCAAATCTCCCCAATGCCTGGGAGGATAATGTTCAAACTGTTAAAAATGGTACCAGGACCCTTTGCACTCTGGCAACTGTCCATTGCCTGGGAAGCTGACCAATTGCAGAGTTAAGAGATTAGGCTCTGGAGTCAGCCAGCCTGGGTCCCCAGCTCTCAGCTTACGTGAACCTAAGTAAGCTACTTCTGAGTCTCAATTTCTTCCTCTGTTAAATAGGTGATACTTTCCTTATAAGGTTGTCCTACTAGATGAAATAGTCAACACGAAACACAATGTCTGACACACGCTGTACACATTTTGTCTAATATTATTCAACAAATATTTATTAAGCCTATATAATATGTGCCAAGCAGTGTGCTGGGTGCTGAAAACAAAGTAGAGTTCATCCTATTGCAGACCTCACAGGCTGGTAGGAGAGCCAGACATTAAACAAATCATCACCTAAGTTAAAAAGTAATACTTAGAGAACCATGACTATGTGGATCAGTACAGAATAGTGTGACATTTCTAAACATACAGCCAATGCAACCAAATAATTTCAAATAGATGCAAGATCTTTACTTGTGTCTCTCAAACACCAGAGAGGGTTCACCACTACTATTTTCTTCTAGTATTTGAGAATTAGTTTTAGTAGTATGTTTTTATATACTGTAGTATGTGTTGTATATATGTAGGTGTGAACAAAATCAACTCCATTTTTGTATCCCAGGATTTTCATGCTGTGACCTTTGACCAACCTTAATGTCCTTAGCAAAGCATACTAAAGCCTTCTAGTTGATTATCTGTGTTCCTTAAAATGTAGCCATAAATATTTTTGTTAGTAGTGGCTAAAATGTCATCACAACTGAGGTAAATAGCAAACTAGTAATAGTATCGATTATAAACAATCATCTATCACAAGACCACTAGGAGGTGTTATGGCCACTGGCGCATACTGCATTCTTTGTCTTATCATTAGTACCTGAGTCAGATTATTAAAAAAGTACTGTAACAGGGGTCTCTTAATGGAGAACTGCTGGGTCATCGGTCCATTCCAACCCCACATTCCTGTAAGTAAATTATGCTATAATAAATTATGTTATATTCTATGGAGTTGTTGGCTTCATTTGTGTTAAGATACTTTCTTGTGGTGATGGCCATTACATGTTTTCCCCACCATCGAACACGTGTGCATGTTTAGCATCATGCCACAAGTTTAAGATGTCGCATTTTCTTTTTATTCAGTTTAAAATATTTTCTAATTTCTCCTTGGACCCATGAGCTATTTAGAATTGTATTACCTGATTTCTGAACATTTGGGTTTTTAAATTATATTTTGTTACTGACTTCTAGTTTAATTCTATCGTGGTTAGAGATCATCTTCTGTATATTTTCAGTCATTTGAAATTTATGAGATCTATACTTAATAACCAAGCTCAAGGTCAATTTTAGAAAATGTTCCATGCACACTTGAGAAGAATATGTATCTGCAATTGTTGCACATAGTGTTCTATATGTATCAGGTCGAATCTGTCGAAAGCATTCTAATTTGCATTTTATGAATTTTTTTATCTGCTTGCTTTATCAATTTCTGAGAGAAGTATGTCAAGATTTCTCACTAGCGTTGTGGAATTATCTATTTTTCCTTTTAATTCTGTCAATCCTGTTTTATGTATTTTATAGCTATGTTATTAAGTGCATACAAATTTAGAATTGTCATTTTTCTGGGCATTGGCCCTTTTATCATTATGAAATGTCCCCTTTTATCTTTAATATTCTTCTTGCCAGAAAGTCTGCTTTGCTTGATATCAGTAGAGTTACCATTGCAATCAGAAAAAATTTTAAATAAATTCCTTTGAAGTTTTTGAGGCAGATTTATGGACTTTACATGGTCAAGTTTCCTAAATATTCTATGTGTGCTTGAAAAAAAATAGTTATTCTTCAATTATTGAATGTAATTGCTATAGATGTTTATTAAATCAAGATTGTTTTATTTAAATCTTTTATATCATAACTGATTTTTAGTGAGCTTGGTCTATCAGTTACTAAAAGAGGTTAAGATCTCCACTACAATGGTAGATTGTCTATTTCTCCTTGTATTTCTGCAAAATTTTGTTTTATTTATTTATTTATTTAGTTAGTTAGTTAGTTAGTTAGTTAGTTAGTTAGTTAGTTTTAAATCTTATTGGGGAACAGTGTGTTTTTCCCAGGCCCATCAGCTCCAAGTCAAGTAGTTGTTTCAATCTAGTTGTGGAGGGTGCAACTCAGTGGCCCATGTGGGGATCAAACTGGCAACCTTGTTGTTATGTGTACTGCGCTCTAACCAACTGAGCTAACCGACCACCTTGCTCTATTTATTTTGAAGCTATATTACTAGGTACCTCTAAATTTAGAATAGTTTTATCTTCCTGGTGAATTGAAACTTTTATTATTAAGTGATCCTCTTTATTTCTAGTAGTAATTTTTGCCTTAAAACTTATGTTGTCTGATATTGCTACCCCAGCTTTCTTTTGATTAGTATTTTCCTGATACATCTTTTTCTATTATTTGACTCTCAACCCATTGTCTTTATGTTTTAGGTATGTTTGTAAACAGTATTAAATATTAGTATAACATATATCAATAGATGCAGAAAAAGTATTTGACAAGATACAACATCCATTTATGATTAAAACACTTAACAAAATGGGTATAGAAGGAAGATACCTTAATATAATAAAGGCCATATATGACAAACCCTCAGCTAGTATCATAATTAATGGTGAAAAACTGAAGCCCTTTGCTCTACATTCAGGAACAAAACAGAGTAGTCTCCTATCACCACTGCTATTTAACGTAGTATTGGAAGTCCTAGCCAGAGCAATCAGGGAAGAGAAAGAAATCAAAGACATCCGAATTGAGAATGAGGAAGTTATATTGTCACTTTTTGCAGATGACATGCTGCTTTAGATAGAAAACCCTAAAGACTCCACCAAAAAGCTATTAGAAACAATAAATGAGTACAGTAAAGTTTCTGGCTACAAAATCAACGTACAAAAATCCATTGCATTCCTATATGCTAACAATGAAATCTCAGAAAAAGAAATTTTTAAAAAATTCCTTTTGCAATTGCAACAAAAAGAATAAAATACCTAGGAATAAACTTAACCAAGGATGTGAAGGACCTATACATTGAAAACTATAAGATATGTTTAAAAGAAACTAATGAAGACACAAAGTAATGGAAAGACATTCCATGTTCATGGATTGGAAGAATCAACACAGTTAAAATGGCCATATTACCCAAAGCAATATACAGATTTAATGCAATCCCCATCAAAATCCCAATGGCATTTTTTTAAAGAAATAGAACAAAAAATCATCAGAGTTGTATGGAACCACAAAAGACCCCCAAATAGCCAAAGCAATCCTAAGAAAAAAGAATAATGCTGGAGGTATCACACTCTCTGATATCAGCTTATACTACAGAGCAACAATAATCAAAACAGCATGGTATTGGCAGAAAAACAGACACACAGACCAATGGAATTTAATTGAAAAGCCAGAAATAAATCCATATAAATATGGACAGATAATTTTCAACAAAGGAGCCAAAAACATACAAAAAAGAAAATAAAGCCTCTTCAATAAATGGTGCTGGGAGAATTAGAAAGCCACATGCAAAAGAATGAAACTAGACTGCTATCTGTCACCATGTACCAAAATTAACTCAAAATGGATCAAAGACCTAAACATTAGACCTGAAACAATAAAC